AAAACCCATAATAATCCTGGGAAGTAATCAGGGCAGATGTTACAACCCCATGTTGCTCCCCCCAAAATAAGACTAGTCATGTTGTCCTCGATCTCTCAAGGCTACTATAACATCAGAAGAACAGTTGTAGAAAAAAAATCAAATTCAACTTGTCTGTGTAGAAAAACAATAATTGCTTTTAAAAAATATCTTTAAATATAGAACAAGAGAACACTTAAGCAGACCATCCATCATCCCTAACCTACAAAAATATACTGGTCAAAATTAATACATGTTAATTTTACTTTATATTCTGAAGAGAAGACGGCAATCTGACTTCAGACCCATGTGGCCCAGGATGAGGTCCCAGGCCCCTTATGGTCCACAAAGATGGTACTGGGAATCTTTTAGCTATGCTTAATATTTCAGAGAGCCTAACTAAAAATTTTATATTTTCTCTCACATAATTAGGCCACCCAGACTAATTAAAATCACAAATTTTTCTCTTGGCTAGAATTTTGATAGTACCAGAAATCACATGATGATCAGAGGTCCTGATTGGTGTTTGATGATATCACAAAAATTCTGAGACGTGCAAGCAGGATCACACTGTGACTTGTGCCCCACACCCAACTAACTCAACTCCTAAACAGCCAGCATAGCAAGAAACCCTAGTCACGAGTCTATACCCTCCACTCCTTCAAGACAGAACTGTGTGCTGTAAAAGTCCATGCACACAGTTGGGTCATACAAAAGGGGTCCTTGATTAAAAGGCTGGGAGTCACTGGCCTACCTCTAAAGGCTATTGGTTCTTGGATAGAAGTTAGGGGTTGGTGTAAAGGGGTATATACTGACAGGGTTCCTTCCAGTAATGAGGTGAGAGATATTTCTCACCACAGATTAAGGAACTCTCTAGGTCCGAATAGAAACAACGTAAGGAGCACCTGAGTGGCTCAGTCGGTCAAGCTTCTGACGCTTGATTTGGGCTCAGGTCATGATCTCATGGTTCATGAGTTCGAGCCCCGTGTCAGGCTCTGTGCTGGTGGTTCAGATCTTGCTTGGGTTCTCTCTCTCCCTTTCTGTCCCTCTCCCCTACTCTCTCTCTCGCTCTCTGAAAATAAATAAACAACAAAAAACCACATTATAAGATGATTAATAAGAATTTTAGCCCTCCCATATATGAATGTACTTAAATATTTTTACCACCTGTCATAGAGTATTAAAATGAATGCATTTAAGAGAAAGGAGGGTTCCCAAGGGAGGGGTGAAGGAAATGAACACTCTTCATCACCACTTCCTTTATGAGATTTGCTACCTGGAGTAGCAGTAACTAGCTGGAGAGCACAGACTTTGGAGTCAGCAGATGAGGGTTTGAATCTCAGTTCTGCCACTATGAGCGGAGTAGTGCTGGGCACACAGTTGCCTAGTATCTTTGAGCTTTGGTTTCCAGTTAAAAAATGTAGGTAACACCTCCCTCCACAAAGAGTGTGGTATTGCTCAGAGAGCACCGGATTACAAATCAAGAACCCTTTCCTTCTGATCCCAGTTCAGACGTTCACTTGAAGTGCATCCTCGGGTAACTTGACTCACTCCTCCAAGCTTTAGTCTTCTTCCTTATGAGTAAATAACACCACTTGTCCTTCCAATCACATGGGCTGGTTTTGAGGATAGGAGCAACGGAAAAAAAATATCTTACAGATGATAAAGCAAATACACTAACGCAAATTTACTATCAACAGAAACAAAACTTAGGCAATATTGTTTTTGCTCAGATTAAGTTATCATTTCTGAACCAAATCTGCAAAGAATTATCTTGTTTCTTTGCCTGCTGAAAGAGGAGAAACGTAACAGGTTTTTATTTCAGTTACTGAACAGGCGCTGTGGTTGTATGTGAGCCACTCTGTTTGTAGGGTGCCGACTGTAACCATCCTCAGCTCCAGCCTGTCGGGATCACCCGTCCCCTGTGGTGGTTACTGTTTCTGGGTTGCTCTTCAGAGATTGCAGTTAGTATTCAAGGTTTTGTTTCAATAGTTGCAAGGTAACCTTGGCAGCTGCTCGCAGCCATCTTGACATCAGCAGGGAAGAGTGAAACCAGAGCTGAGAAAAATCACAGAGAAAAAGCCACTGCTCTGACGATATCACAATACTCTGGACTAAATCATGTCCAAAGCTAGTGTGCTTCTGGGCTTTTTTGTTAGGTGAGGCAATAAATTTTGAGGTTTTTTTTTTTTTTTCCTGTTCTTGCAAGTAAAATAATCTTCAGAAATACACCATATAACATCGAGCAAGTTTCATTAACCCTCTCAACTTCACTATCCTGATCTACAATGGGGGGTAAAATAATACCTATCACACACAGGGCTGCAGTTAAGTTCATCAGTGCTTGAAGAATGTTTAGCACGGTGCTTGGTACAAAGTAAGCCCTCAATAAATTGTGGCTATTTGTATTATGTTTGGCGCTCTACACATTATGCTAAATGCTTTCAGTACAACACCTTCCTTAAGCATCATGTCAACCTCACGACAATCTTTTTTCTTATATAATTTTTTTTAAGTGTTCCTTTATTTCTGAGAGAGAGAGAGGCAGAGTGTGAGCAGGCGAGGGGCAGAGAGAGGGAGACACAGAATCCGAAGCAGGCTCCAGGCTCTGAGCTGTCAGCACAAAGCTTGACGAAGGGCTTCACCCCACGAACCGTGGGATCATGACCTGAGCCAAAGTCGGATGCTTAACTGACTGAGCCACCCAGGCACCCCTACAAGGTAGGATTTCTTATCCCCATTTTACAAATGAAAAGAAAAATGAGGGTTAGAGACTTGAAGTGACTTGTCCAGGGTCCTATGGCTACAAAGAGGCAGAGATTTCATAACATATAACTGTTTCTCCTTTTTTATTTTTTTCATCATCCTTTGCCCCGGTGATGTGAAGTGTACATCATCAGTAAAATACCAATTGGATACCTATGTCAAAAATCATTAGTTACCAGAGACATAGCAGTAAATACACATATTCTTTTTGAATTTAGTTTTAGAGGACACCCTTACAATGACCCGGGTTACAGGGGAGTTTAGATTGAATTTGTGCCTTGTATTTACTGGCATCATGCTCCTAACAACTGAGAAACTAACTAATGACACCTAAATCCTATAGGCACATGAACAGCCCTGTCAGTATGGTATGCAACTAAATGCAGAGCTTAGAGGTCTTTTCCATATAGAACTTAGAGCATATGTATACATATTACATCCAACTATTTAATTTCTCCTAAAACCCTGAACCGAAATGTACCATTTCTTTTGTATTTTGATCCCATGGGTTAAAAAAATGTCTTTTTCACAGGCACTATAAAGGAATTCTCTTGATACTTTCTCTGTTCCTTCCAACATGTCAACTTATATATGTTTCCTAGGAAATCCAAACAGTACAATTAGATGTGATAACGGGATGGAAGGAAATATCGACTAGGGCCTCCACGACACTATTTTCTCAGGAAATATACAGGGAAATCTGATGGCGTGTCTTACTGTTTACCTCTAGGTGACATTCTCCAAACGTCTTTACACGTTATGGAATGCCTCAGACAGGACTGCAATGACTACAACAGTTAATCTGAACCTCCTCCTTACAAATGTTATCTTGTGTGCAGATCAAGAAAGTCCTTCCCACTCATCTGTAGTAAGCCCTGGAAAATATAAGCAGCAGCCCCTGAAATTCTCCTCATAACTAGGTACATATCTTGTCTAAGGAGAGGTGTCAGGACACATCCCAAATGCGAAGTCACGGGCTTTCAGAGGCAGCGGGGAGAGGCTCCACTGTCCTAAATTGCCTCACCCCCTGCCTCTTCGTGTACATTTTTTGATGGAAAGGTGTGAGAGGAGTGCCTAGAAAGTCATCCTGCAGGTAGGTGATCCTGATTTTATAATTAGGAGATTTTTACCTATACTGAAGCCCTATATGAGGATGCTACGACACAACCGAGGATGGCATTTGTTCCCTCTGATAGCATAGTTTTAGATATCTGAGAGCTGTGGAGACAGACTGATCTGCAGCCAGACAGATGTAGCTCTGTTCTTTCTAGGTGAGAGTCCCTGGGTGTACCACATAACCTCCCCAAGCCTGCTTCTCATTGTAAAATGAGGCCACTACAACCTACCTCATGGGGTTTTGGAATAAATGGGTCCAGCTCACAGCAGACAGTCAATAAAAGATCGTTTATTTCCCCTGCAATTCTCTAAGAAACCATTTAATGTAATGTGTCTTTAGAAAAATGTCCCTACCAGGAAGAGAACCTCAACATCACTAGACTGCATCCGTTTGGGAGTAGAAATAATTTTATACACATAATAATGCACTTTAGAACCCTATTTCCAGGTTTCCAGAATATACAGTAATTTCTGAGTACCGCTCGGGCTGTGCCTAGTGCTTCTTCTCCCACCTCCTTCCAACCTTTTACTGATGTCTGCCGCCCAGGGAGGTCAATTTGTGGGTGGCACCTTCTCCCACATCCTTGGTGGTACCCTCGATGACAACAGGGTGGTTGCCTTCTCTGAGAACCCCCAAGACTCCCAAATTGTAATGTCGTGAAGGAGCCAAGATGACACAGCTTTGTTAGGACTTCACAACATTAGCAGCACACTGTGTCTGCAAGGAAATGACCCTACCTCCTTGTTGTGTTTCTCACTGTCACTTGGACCACAAAGAGCACTCCTTTTGCCTCCTATGAAAACAGCTTCTTCAGCTTCTGCCTAGACAGTCCTTTTTCCCCTCAGAGTCCATAAGAGAAGACCAGTAAGTTCTCTATCCCAAGGTCCCCTGTTCCACATAATCCTATCCAAGTGCAAATCAACTTCTGTAAACAGTGCTTCAGACTGATGGTCAGTTTCCCAGTTCACCATAACCACCCAGACTTTGAGCTCCAGTTTAGGTTCAGGTGGAACTCTCTCTACAACAAGAATTACTGCACATTCTGACTTCTCATCCACTAGAGGTCTGCCTCCAAATCAAAACCAAGTATGAGACAGAGTAAAACATAATACAAATTTATTCTGTGACATTTTCTTCATTGAAGATATTTTAAAATAGATTAAAACACATCAATATTTCATGAAAATACCTAGGAGAAGAAGTTAGGTAATACCTGTAATATACATGATTTGACCCTGAATATACAATTTTTGTATTTCAAACATCATTTTTTTAAAAGGAACATAAAAATGGTAAGAATTGCTGCATTCTTCATATATCCCATGTCTCATAAATTTTAATTCAACTGCCAGTTCTTTTCTCAACTATATATGTTAAGGGTATTTGCTTCTGATTTTGAATGGTAGGAGTATCCATTTTCTGTTTCTTAGCAGTGATATTTAGGTCTTCTTTTTCCGATTCTTCAAGAAAATGCTTCATGCTGAGTTTGAACAGTAATCGAGGGTCTGGTCCAGAAAGTGGTGGGCAATTACATATCTCTCTAATTTTAAGGGCCTACAAATGAAGAATACAATACTCTGTGTATATATGTGTGTGTGTGTGTGTGTGTACATATATATATATATATATATATACACACACACTATATATATATATATATACATACATATATATACACACACATATATAAATTTATATATACATATAAATATATACATAAATTATTCCAGTAATTCCTACTATGCTGTATGCAAAACAGTGAAATATAAGAATACATTCTATATTTTTGGAATAAAAAGTATCTTAATTACAACATGCGAAAGAGGACCATAGAGACATTCCTGGTAAATAGTTACATTTTTATTATTTGTTTATACAATAATATATTTGAAAAAAATATCTGCAGTGACTGTCTGATGTCCTATTAGGGATAAATGAGAGGTATCTCTATGATTTCAGTCACACTAGAGCTGACTGTGAGAACACCATTCAGATTTAAAAAGATCTGAAGACTCTAAGACTTTCTCAAGGAAAGGAAAACAAGAGGATATAGAAATATGAACATACTGAAGAAAGATACATGTAACTAGGACAGTCTGAGGGAGAATTGATGCTAATAACCTACAAGATTAAGCAGATCAAAATCATGACAATTTTTAATTCCCGGAAAAACAAAATGCTACAGGAAAAGTAATCACAGAATGACGACATGGTTCAGCTGTGACTGGTGTTTACAGTTTTAAAAACAATGAATCTTGATCTACCCCAAATCACAAACAAACAACTGGAAGAGGGAGAGCTGGATACATGTGGGTGCATGCACAGGTGTATCAGTGATAAAGGAGCCCTTCGTTCTCATCCTCTACGGGGAAAAGTAAATTGGAAATGCTTAAACTGGAAAGTTAGGAAGTAGCAATATGACTATGTGATGGTAGACATGGTGGGAAATACCAAAAGTATTATTTAAGAGCTGGAAATGGTTACCCTTAAAACTGAGGGCAGGTAGGGGGATTGGAGCTTTAAATAACTAGACTTGAAGATCTATGTGATTCTTTACAGTGGTTTCATAAAGGACTTTAAGACATAAAAACTAAAATAGTGAATTAAAAAAAATTTTTTTAATGTTTATTTTTTAAGAGAGAGAGAGAGAGAGAGAGAGAGAGAGAGAGAGAACACGAGCAGGGGAGGGGCAGAGAGAGAGAGGGAGACACAGAATCCGAAGCAGGCTCCAGGCTCTGAGCTGTCAGCACAGAGTCCGACGCCAGGCTCAAACCCATGAACCGTGAGATAATGACCTGAACAGAAGTCGGGCGCTTAACCGACTAAGCCACCCAGGTGCCCCTAAAATAGTGAATTTTTAAAGCAAAAACATTTTATATCTAATGGGGGTTAAAAGAAAGATATTTAGGGGAGGGAGCTAGTTTAGTTTCTTATTACTTATAACTTTAATTTTTTTTTTCATGTTTATTTATTTTTGAGAAAAAGAGAGACACAGCGTGAGCAGGGGCTGGAGGTGCAGAGAGAAAGAGAAAGAGACACACACAGAATCCAAAGCAGGTTCCATGGTCTGAGCTGTCAGCACAGAGCCCGATGTGGGGCTCGAACCCAGGAACCAAGAGATCATGACCTGAGTTGAAGTCAGACACTTAACCAACTGAGCCACCTAGGCACCCCACTTTTAACTTTTTTATAGTGATGGATGTTAAGGGATGTAAGTAAAGCTGGGAAGGAAACAATCAATGTTTGTGGGGATAGTAAAATTTTAGAAAGATTAGCCTACCAAGGTCTCACTGTTAAATACTGATGGGGGCAGAGAGGAGGAGGGGTAGCTGGGGAGAAGACCTGAAGGCTGAAGGACAAGAGGGAAGAGGTACGTGGGTACCTGGAAAAAGAGCATTCCAAGTACCAGCAGCAGGGATGCAAGGACCAGAGATGGGAGTGTGCCTGGACGGTTCTAGAACAGTAAGGAAGCTAGCACAGCTGGAGCAGAGCAGGGCATGGGCAAGAGCAGATTATGTAGGCTCTCACAGGTCATAGGGTTTTAGGTTTTACTATGAGTGGGGCTGCCTCTGCTATTTGTGGGGTCCATGGCAAGAATATAAACACTCAGATACCATATGTTTAAATATCTAAAAGCAGTAAGTCAAGCTAATAAACTACTGTAGAAAACATTTTCTATTCTCCCACTTTGAAAAATACACATTCAAAATGACCCTGAAGGCAGGTACAAAACTAGAATTCTTGAATTTTGGAATGTGTAAGGTTGCAGGGAACCTACCCACTTCCTGTCACTGGCCTGCTGTCCACTCCCTTCTCCTATCCCTGGCTTCCTGGGCACTATGAGGAGCTTTGTGTGCATGTGTCCAAGGGAAGAGATCCACACAGGCCCAGAAGCAGGCTCAAAAGTGTTTGGGCAAGGAATTCCATTATCCCAAATACCCACAGTGCCACATGGTAGGGGCATAGGTTCTTAGATGGGAATATTCCTTTAAGTTCCAAAGGAGAGAAGGGCATGCAACCAGAGGAAAACCAGAAATAGGTCTTCTAAATGGGTAATGCCAGGGCAGGAGCTTAGATCTAGGAACACTTCTGATTCTGAAGAAGGCTATGGTTTACCAAAATAAACTAGAGGAAAAAAAAAGCATTGAAGTGAAATTCTGTGGTGACAGGGGCCTCGTCTGAATTTTCTTTCTATCTCACAATCATCTACTGAGCATTAAAAAAATGTTCATTAAACTTAACTGAAAAATCAAGAAAACGTTTCACAACTATAGCACTGAAATAAACAGAAAGTCAGACCCTCAGCAAAATGGTGACCTACTGCCCAAAGCAGAACACCTTTGAGAGTGTAAGATGCTATTAAAACTCAACTGAGACATCAGGCACAAAATGAGCCTGCCCTGGCAAAATGGGGACACACAGTCCACTCTTGCTTTAACTCCTTTACAGCCATGCTGATGTCCTTTTCCAAGTGAGAAGCCGCTATGTTATGGTTGCTACATCACACGCCTGAGACCTTCACTGGTGTCAGTAAAGGGGCAAGTATGGAGCCTAGCAAGTAACAGCTGGTAAAGCTGAGTTTAGCAATGAGAGATGCAAAGCAGCAAAGGGAAAAGTAGAATGCCATCTAATCTTTTATATTCGGTAAAAGCTTTTCTCTTTCCCCTAAGTCCTTTTATTCAGTATTTTTACATAGTTCTAAATGGCCAATATTTAGAACACCACACTGAATGATCTGCTAGGTATACATCAGTCAGGATACATAGTCATGATCCCTGCCCTCACACAATTTACTTTGCATTTCCCCATCACTGGGCATTTGAATTGTTTCCACAGTTTCATTTTGTTTTACTTGGCTTTAATAAATGACCCTATGAAAATCTTTGCTTAAAAAAAATGTTATAACTTCCATTTGGGTTTACTTGAAGTATACCTGCCAAAAGAATGATGTGAACAGAGTATACTTTTAGTTTATACAGGACCAGACTGCTTTCTATCAGAAAGGCTTTACCAACTTATAATGTCTTCAGCATACAGGCCTATTATCTAAGTTATTCATAATCAGTATAACATAAGATTTCATGATTTTTAACTAGATAATAACCATATAATTCCAAAATTAGAAACCTTAGAAATCATCAGCTGCAGTTTACAGATTGAGGAAATTTAAACCCCAAAGAGGTTAAGTGACTGGCAGGGAACAAAAAATTGCTTGGCAAATGTTTATAGCAGCTTTATTCATAATTGGCAAACCTTGGAGCAGCCAAATGCCCTTCAGTAGGTGAATGGATAAGTAATCTGTGTTACATCCAGACAGTGGAATATTATTAAGCACTAAGAAGAAATGATCTATCAAGCCATGAGAACACATGAAGGAACGTTAAATGCATATTAAGTGAAAAAAAAATCTATCTAAAAAGGCTACATAGCATAGGATTCTGACTATATACATAACATTTTGGAAAAGGCAAACAATGAAGACACTAAAAAGATCCACGGTTGTTAGGGCTGAGCAAGGAGAGAAGGACGAATTGGCAGAATATTTGTGGGGCAGCGAAACTACTCTATGTCATACTGTACTGGTGAATACAAGTCACTATACATTTGTCAAAACCCACAGAATGTACACTAAGAGTGAACCCTAATATAAACTATGGACTCTGGGTCATAAAGATGGGTCAGTGTAGATTCACCTTCTGTAATAAATGTACCACTCTGGCACAGGACTTTGATAGTGGGGGAGACTGAGCAAAGGCAAGGGGTATATGGGGAATCTCTCCTGTACCTTCCATGAAATTTTGCTGTGAACCTAAAACTGCTCTTAAAAATAGTCTAATTTAAAAAAAAATTTGGGAAGAGGCACAAAAGTAAGAAGACTTAGAAAAAAAAAGGGATGAGAATCTACTTCTGTTGTTTTGTTTTTAATCCTCTTACACTACATGCTTTTGTACTACATTTTTTGCACCACATTGTTTCTTGAGTAAATCTTTTACTGAATAAACATACTTTTGAGATGTCTGACCTACGTTTAATTGCTAGAAAAACTATATATTCTTCATAAAGGTATTCTATGAATCTTTCTACATGTGTGAATCCTCTCCTCCAACTATCGATCAAGCAAAATCCTATTAGACCATAGACATTTCTACCAAATCTTCATCTATTTTGCACAGCAAGATTTTATCACATATGTTGGTAAAATATTTTTATTTTCTACTGTCCTTTCCACATTTATTTTATTACATTTCAGGGTGTCAACATCTTTTATTTTTATAAATTCAAATCTATCTTATTAAATATAGCTTCATCTCCTTAAAAGTCAGCAATATTTTCCCACAATACAACAAGAATAGGCCTTTCTGTTGCCTTTACTTCGTTTTCTGCATTTAACTGTATGTACTCTACATAACACGTACTTAATAAATACATGGTGGATTTTAAACAAACACCTATAAAACACAAGCTATGAATAAATCATTATAATAAATGTCATAGGGAAAACACTCTTTAAGAATCGAGAGTCTAAGAGAAAGCAGGAATGTATTCTAGTAACA